TAAAAGTGGCGCTCAATTGATCCGTGTTTTTGAAGACAATCCAAAGTTTTTGGACAAATTGAAGGCATTTCTTGATTTCAATGTTATATTTATTTTAATTAAAGTAATTTGTTTTCAATTGTTTTCAAACAGAAAATTAGTAAAGAATTTCCGAATAAATTAGAAGTAATTAATAAACAAATCATAAATTTGCCGAATATTCTCGTTAAAGAAGTGGAAATCAATGATGAGATCAGCCGCTGGTTTACCGGCATTGAGACCATTAAGACTTCCGATTGGCGATCGGATCCTATCATTAAATTTGTGGGCGTCTTCTCGCCAATCAATTCAAGACTTTTCTTGCGTTTTGTAATCAAACAATTGGTGCGAAAGGATCTGTTCTTCTGGTGCGGAAGGACTCAGTTTGTAGTGTTTGTCTCGGAAAAGGAGTACAATTGTATGACAGCAACGCCGCCTAATTTTAAGTTATACCGATCTATAAATGTTATGTATAACACACTCTTCGACATCGAAAGCCTCGAAACGGTTCCGTACAACGAATTCGCCTTCTATTCCAGTCAACCGACCACTAAAAGTGTATCACATGTATTGACCATTGAGTTCATTGATAAATAGTTTATTAATTGTTTATTTGATTAGACGTTTGACGGAAACGCACGACTCGTTCGGTTGACTCCAAAGGAATATTTGGATGAATTAGACGAACAAACTCTTAAGGATTACTACTATTTCGTGACACAAACCTTCATGAAGAGGAAGAGTTGGATCATTCCGTTCTTAGAGTATTACAGAGTATTCGTTCACTAATCAAACATTACGTTAATGTCATTATTGAATGCAGGAATTGGTTCCCGAATTGTGGTCCGGATCTCATCCGCAAAGGAATCCCTGTTTTCAAATATTTTGGTGATTTGAGACCCGAAGAAATGTTGGATCTGTTTAAATACTGTTACAATAGAAGTGATTACAACAGTTCTATTTATAAGGCGTTCTCACAAAACGACATTTTCGACAACGAAATCGATGTCCAGGACATCAAATTAGACGAAGAAGACATCGATACTAAAGATAAGGAACAACTGGTCGACAATGAGTTATGAATAATGTATTTATTTTTAGTCAAAATCTATTAAACAAACTCTTTATGTATAATATATAGTGTGTTAATAATTAGTTTCAAATATGTTTTATAAAAAATATTAATTCAATAATATTAACAATTAATGGGAGAAATTGGATTAAAAGCGAATTACATGTTATATATTATTGTAATGGAAATCATCTAAAAATCAATGACTAATCAATTCGATGAAAATAATTATTGAGATTTTGATGGCGTATCGATGGATAGTCTTTGCTTATGTGATGCGAAAGTAAACGACGTCTCGAGTCGTTTATCTCTCTTCTTGTAGTGTCCGTTATAGTCGAGTCTTGAGCTCAACTCCTGTAACTCCCTGTCCTGATGGTCGGCCAGCATTACCAGAAACTTATGGACATTATCTCTATAGTTATGGGTGACGATTGCCACCCATGCGATCACTTTAGCGATGGTCTCATTTTCAAACAGTGATCTCCTGTGCTCTTCATCCCTGTCTTCGAGGCCAACAATACCCCATTCGCCTCTCTTTTCGTATAATTCTTGTTCCGATTCGAACTTAATTCGCGCCGATATCTCAGCGTCGGTGGCCTTCAGGAAGCTATTCACGTGAGTTTGGAATTCAAGAATATAATCACAAATAGCTCTGTATTGTAAATATATGTCTTCAGTCAATGTCCCCAAAAGCGATCGATGCATCACTTGTTCCAAGAATTGACAGTGAGATCGGATCAGTTCGTCGACATCACGCGAGTCGTTGAGATGTGTCTGCAATTGATTCCATTGGCATTCAATCACATCAAACGTCAAGTAGTACTCCATTTGGCGAATGAAATGAATCATTTCCGACAACAGCTGATGAAATGAAGTGAAGGCGAACTTTAGTTTTGGGATCCGTTTCTCCAGAGGAATACAAGACACAAGATTTTTCCAAATGGAGGTCAGAATGTATTCCATTCGCTTCGATCTCCACAGATGTTTGAATAGCTTTGGGTACACTTTTTGGCTCTCATTCGTGAATATAGTACTAATCGGTCCATCGATTCTATACGTCAACGCAAACACATCCCAACCCAAGTCATTGATGGCCGACTCGGACAACAGTATATCAATTCGGTTGACAATCTCCGGGTCATCGAACTGAGCGTTGGTCGCGCGGACGGCGCTCTCCAAGAGCTGCACAATGGCATGTCTGGCCAACTTATGCGCCGGTTTGTTGAGTTGCGGTGACAGCACATCCATCAGGTGACGAACGAAGTCTCCCTGACCTAACAGCATGTATTGACGCAAACCTCTAAAGTGATCCTGAAGTCTGTAATTCTCATTCAATATCTTAAGCGATGTCCGACTGATCTCTTTATAAGCGGTTTCCAGAAGTATATGGAAGTGATTTGATTCTTCATTTTTGAGTTGCTTTCGATTGAAAAGTGACTCCAAATTAGAGCTCTCGAAGGACTCCTTCATCTGAGAGATGCCGGGTATATGTGCTGTCACTTCATTACGACAGACCTGATGTAATAAGTAGATAGCCTTTCCTGTGGACACTATTTTGTCGGCCTGTGCTTTGGTTATGAATCCGGGTAACTGTGTCTTCACAATCACATACCTCTCGTGCCAGAAGGCAGAGCTCAACGGCGATGTCTGCGTCACTCCCAGTCTATTGGTGGCGATGAAGAACTCTTTGTAATAGTCCTCTAACTCTCCGTGAAATATCCATTGACTTAACATTCGTCGGATTGGAAGCACCACTTGATTGAGTATTCGAGTTAAACATACCCTGATGTTCGGGTCTCCGTGTCTCATAACATGGTAGACAACACTCGCCAAAGCGCCGCCCGATTTGTGTTTGCATTGCTCTACCAATGAGGCCAACACTTTAAGCCTGAAAAATGAGTCATAACTCCACACTTGGAGCCGATGAAGAGTGACCCGAGGGCTGGCGTCAGAGCGGTTGTCGTGCATCTGCTCCTCAATAACTGTAATCAATCGGTAATATTCAAGAATCTCGTCCTGAAGTGCGGACGCGAAGGACTGGCAGACGTGTCCATTAGACTTGTCTTTGGATATATAATTGCAATATTTCTGTATCTTATTGAAGAGCCAACCCATGTGTGTGAGTCTGAGGGCCAACTTCTGCTGCGACGCCGGGATATAGTAATGACTATTAATAACATAAATGCCTTCTCGAGACGAGTCGGCGGTTATTATCTTTCCGTTGAGTCCTTGAAATGCAAACAATATTTCGCGAATCAATTCCTGTTCGGAAACAATGGTTTTCGAGTTATTCGAGTCGAAATGGATTGTATGCGGACGTGTTGTCTGCGGCCTATTCTTCCGCATTAGCTGTCGAGTCGGTGAACCAATAAAGTGGTTAATACTGGCGCTCGACATGTCGTCTGTGGGCAGAAGTCTCGCCAAATCGTGAAACATCTGTCCATTTATGGCACCATTAGTTCGCATCGGAGATATTGGAGATATCGAAGACATGGGTTGTATTGTCATCGGATCCAATCCATTGGTCAGCGATTGCAATGAATCGGCGTTTGGCTCTTCACTGGATCCGGACATGCGATACAAGAACTCCAATAAAGCGATTGGGTTTCGACAATACTGTGGACTTCGTTTCAACTTATGATACAATTCTTCGAGTCTAAGACCTTCGCTGTCGCGGAAATCACGCGAAACTATGGACACAGAAATCGTCTTACAATTGATTGACATGAATATGAAATACAAGACATTGAATACGTTTTTGTTTGATTTTAGACATCAAATACAATTCATGGCATTCATCCTGAGGACCAGTTGGCGCCCGAAGCAGTTCCGATGATAACCAGTACTGTCTGGACAAGTCATCTGCAAAGACATACACATAATGAATGGTGTGATGGAGTGGTGATGGGTGTGGATGTGGTGGATGTGATACCTGATCCCTGATGTGATGATTGTTTGGCACATAACCTGTAGACAAGTGCAGGCAATTGCATAACCGATACGTTTGGCACACAATTATCGGCACTCATTGTCCCCAAGAAATCACTTTCGCGTCAAATGATTGCATGAATGAAATGAATGGATGAATGAGTGGTCACTGGACTCGATGTCCACTCAATAACAACACAACACTTGATATGCCATCAAAACAATGCAATCAATGCCTGTTTTGGCACACATTTGGCGCCACATTTGCTCAACACTTGCAGTACTAAACCACTCAACACTTCAATCCATTTCTTCCATACGTTTAACACACAATCCATTCATTCATTTCATAACTAAATTCATCACTAAATCAATCCTTAATACAATTTTAGTCCAATTTTAATACAATTTTGCATAAAATACACACAAAATAAGGCAAACAATTCAATGAAAGATTAAATGACAAAATTATTGTCACATTTATTGAGCGGTTAAGAAGTCATTCAAAGTATTGATGATATGATTTCTGGCTTCAGTCAACTCTTTGGGATCCTTTTGTGACTCGGGATACATATCAGCGCAATGAGCGGTTCCGTTGATCAGTAGGGCCTTTGAGTATTGGTTCAGGTCTTTGGTTACGCCCAACGCATGCCACGGATCTATGGATCCGTTGGGAAACAATACTTTGCGCACTTTGAGTGCATATCCGCCGTAAAAGTTGTTTGTAAATTGAATGGACTTTTCCAGTAATGTTTGGTCATATTTGGGGCCAAATATATCGGCGCACTGTTTGATGAAGAACTCGACCGGAAAGTAGGGACCAAACGGTTGGCTCTTCAGATCGGATGACTGGAAGAATCCAAACTCAACGCATGTTTGATAAGTCCATTGTCTGCCTGTTATTTAGACATCAAATCCGTGTGTCATTTAAGTTTTGTTAAGTTATGGTATTATAATTATCACAATACAAGACCTCCTGCAGCGGCGCTGGACTTCCAGTCTGTGTTTTGCAATTGTTTCACAAACTTTTCGTACTTAAAGTCCACACATTTCTGATTATAAGCCTCGAGTATAATGTCATTCACTTTCATATACCGGTCCAATGCTTTTGCACCGATGGATGTGTTGGTCATCACATCGCAGATCACATCAATGGTAATATTAGTGGCGACGGCGCCCTATATTTCAATGTCATTTAAGCGCTCAAAACGCTAATAAAAGTTTGATGTCTGACCTCAAAGTCTCGGTTGTCTTTATTGTACTGAACGACTCCCTCTATATTTCCAGCCAAAGTACTGACCAAATTATAGACATCGTCAACAATGGATCCGTTGAATGGTTCGCAAAGTTTAAATTGCTTTTCGATGGACTTCCAGCCCACGGGATGATCCAATTCTAACGATAACTCATGAGTGGCTTCTTTGATAGCGTCGTCGCATTTTTGGCCCAAAGAGTCGCTGACAACCGATAAATAGTCTTTAAAGTTGACGACCGCTTCGATGGGAGCGCTGGAAGCGATGGCACCGACCACTAGATGCGGGTATTTGGCTCTAAACCAAGCGGCCAATGATCCGGAATAGGATCCGCCGAATATAACCCATTTGTTATCACTTAACGCTAGTTTTGTTGTCAAATACTCAATGAAATACGCGGCGTCTTGTAATGCCTGTTGACTCGTCAAGTATTGCAAGTTCTCGACCGACATATTTCTAAATTGGGTTAATTTACAACTCTTTTACTTCAAATTCATGACTTTAGGGCTAATATGAATGCATACTCTGTGGGCCATGACTTGCCATAGTATCGATGCTCGAGGAGTACAGACATTGCATTAAACCGTTTGGCATAGTTGGCCGCGATCTGGCCCTCAACCACCCAAATGGGGTCCGCATTGCCTTCGCCTCCCAATTGCAGAAATATCGGCCCATTTTTTGTGTGAAACGTATCGTTGATGAAAAATCGCTACCATTTTTACACATTTTAAATATGAATTTACATTATTTTAAACCACAATTCTGTATAGATTTTTATAGAATCGTCCCCCCCCCCGCTCTATGGGATTTAACATGAAATTTCAGCTTAAGTCTATGACATAGGTTTAACATGGGTAATGCAAAGTCTATGGAACTAATGCTAAATCTATGGGCTAATGTTTAGTCTAAGGGATTCTATGAGCATCACCACAAGTGGCTGTGTATGAGTTGTTTTAATGATCAAATAATAAGCAAATACTTGTTTCCAAGTTCTGGTGTCGACGGGATTGAAGTGATCGAGTGTTTGTTCAAACCATTGCTCCTCTATTTGTTGAGAGGCGTAGAACGAGATGTCTTTGCGAACAGGAATTCCAAGCATTCCGTGTTTGTCGAGAGGACGGCCGCGGAAGAAGAGTGGACCGCATCCTATGAGACCGCTGTTAATCACCACTAAAACACAAACCAATGATTTCATTGTTCGACACGTATTACCAGTGAATGACAAATAATTTATCGTTAAATAAAGTGTTTTCCACTTAATATGAGATGAAGTTAAAGTCAAATCACGTCTAATGTCAAAGTGATAACACTTTTGATAACTTAGCGATAAATAATAGTTAATTGACATAAATGTTTAAAATATCAATATTACTGTATTATTAGTATATTTCATATCACATGTCGTTAAACCAACAAATAAACTAAAATATGAGCAAATGTCAAGAATAAAGATTGCAAAGTAATATATACGTGGTCATAATTATGTTCTAAGGATTTCCCTTGCCATTCTTAACCTACATACAAGCACCTGTATGTGCTTTTATATATTTTTTCAATTGGAAAGTTTTGTATTTATAGGATGGATATTTTAGTTATTTTAAAATTTTGATATACAGTACTGTACCTTCTGATCGTTGTGCACCGGTAGAGAGACAATAAAACCCAATTAAAATTTACTAGGTCAATTTTAAAAATCACATGTCAAAATATTAAGAATCACTAATGGCAAAAAGTAAATTTTCAAATTTACAATATTTTATTTTAAAGAATTTAAGATTTATTAAATTTTTTATTCACAATTTTTTTTGGCAATTTATGCATTGAAAGTGAACTTGGTCCTTTAACACAAGGAAATAAATTGAGGATTAAATTGAGACAATGCTATGATATAAATATAATTAAAATTAACGGTAACTTTATTATTGATTTTGTGTTAAATATTGCATTAAATTCTTAGAAAATTATAAAATTATTTATCAGAATATATTTTAAATATAGAAGTGTTTACATCGAGTGAATCAAAACAAAATGATTTCAAATCTTTGGCCGAATTTTCGAATTAAGTTCGAATCGGAACAAGAATTATACGAAAAGAGAGGCGAATGGGGTATTGTTGGCCTCGAAGACAGGGATGAAGAGCACAGGAGATCACTGTTTGAAAATGAGACCATCGCTAAAGTGATCGCGTGGGTGGCAATCGTCACCCATAACTATAGAGATAATGTCCATAAGTTTCTGGTAATGCTGGCCGACCATCAGGACAGGGAGTTACAGGAGTTGAGCTCAAGACTCGACTACAACGGACACTACAAGAAGAGAGATAAACGACTCGAGACATCGTTTACGTTCGCATCACATAAGCAAAGACTATCCATCGATACGCCATCAAAGTCTCAGTAATTATTTTCATCGAATTGATTAGTCATTGATTTTTAGATGATTTCCATTACAATAATATATAACATGTAATTCGCTTTGAATCCGATTTCTCCCATTAATTGTTAATATTATTGAATTAATATTTTTTATAAAATATATTTGAAACTAATTATTAACACACTATATATTATACATAAAGAGTTTGTTTAATAGATTTTGACTAAAAATAAATACATTATTCATAACTCATTGTCGACGAGTTGTTCCTTATCTTTGGTATCGATGTCTTCTTCATCTAATTTGATGTCCTGGACATCGATTTCATTGTCGAAAATGTCGTTTTGGGAGAACGCCTTATAAATAGAACTGTTATAATCACTTCTATTGTAACAGTATTTAAACAGATCCAACATTTCTTCGGGTCTCAAATCACCGAAATATTTGAAAACAGGGATTCCTTTTCGGATGAGATCCGGACCACAATTCGGGAACCAATTCCTGCATTCAATAATGACATTAACGTAATGTTTGATTAGTGAATCAATACTCTGTAATACTCTAAGAACGGAATGATCCAACTCTTCCTCTTCATGAAGGTTTGTGTCACGAAATAGTAGTAATCCTTAAGAGTTTGTTCGTCTAATTCATCCAAATATTCCTTTGGAGTCAACCGAACGAGTCGTGCGTTTCCGTCAAACGTCTAATCAAAGAAACAATTAATAAACTATTTATCAATGAATTCAATGATCAGTACATGTGATACGCTTTTAGTGGTCGGTTGACTGGAATAGAAGGCGAATTCGTTGTACGGAACCGTTTCGAGGCTTTCGATGTCGAAGAGTGTGTTATACATAACATTTATAGATCGGTATAACTTGAAATTAGGCGGCGTTGCTGTCATACAATTGTACTCCTTTTCGGAGACAAACACCACAAACTGAGTCCTTCCGCACCCGAAGAACAGATCCTTTCGCACCAATTGTTTGATTACAAAACGCAGGAAAAGTCTTGAATTGATTGGCGAGAAGACGCCCACAAATTTAATGATAGGATCCGATCGCCAATCGGAGACCTTAATGGTCTCAATGCCGGTAAACCAGCGGCTGATCTCATCATTGATTTCCACTTCTTTGACGAGAATATTCGGCAAATTTATGATTTGTTTATTAATTACTTCTAATTTATTCGGAAATTCTTTACTAATTTTCTGAAAACAATTGAAAACAAATTACTTTAATTAAAATAAATATAACATTGAAATCAAGAAATGCCTTCAATTTGTCCAAAAACTTTGGATTGTCTTCAAAAACACGGATCAATTGAGCGCCACTTTTAAGCAAATGTTGCGTCAAAACAGCGGTTCCCGGACTCGACTCGAGGATCACAGACTTGTCTTTGTTGAGGTCATGGCTCAAGTGATTGGCCACCAATTTAGCCGTTTTTATGTCTTTGATATACAGATATTGTTCGGGAATCCGTTGGAAACGAAAGGTATCCGAAAAACCTTTTCTCCGATCCCTTTTGGTGGTCAACAGTCGCCGAAGACATCGATGGCAGACATTTGCCTCTAATTTATGCAATAATTTGCGGACAAATATATATTTGTGAAACATTTCCGACAAAATCCTAACTAATTATCCAAACATTTGGTTTTGAATTTTGTAAATAAAAAACATATGACTTATTGTTTATAACCAATGAATGAAAGCAACACTTTTGGCGTTCAATTCAAATCGTTTTTATTATAAATTAATACCAAATTAAATATATTTAATTAAAAACTTATATTTTAACAAATTTAATGTTATGTGAATTTTTTAATTGTTTGATTGCATTAATTATATCCAAGATATCGATGTCTTGGCTTTGATTATCACAATAAGTGAGTGCAAAGCACAGCAATTGATGTCTGTTTTCCATGTTTTTATAGCTTTCACTCAAACCTAATTGAAGGCATATTTTCCAACCGATTGTGTAATTGTTTTTCATAATAATGTCACACGACTTGAAACAATGGTTAAAGTCTTTGGAATCCAACGCCACGTTTGCGCACAACGACAAAACGGTTCCGTTTCGGTGATCGCCATCAAAGTCTTTGCAGACATTGAGAAGTTGTGATATTTTCAATATTGTCGATGTCTTCGAATAGGCCTTTGGAGAAGACTTGAGAATCGTGTCAATCAATTCCAGTCTCGGCTGAGGAATGAGTCGTATCTGAATCGGCAATAGTTTCAGATCGAAGTTCTCTTCAATCAAATATAAGCTCTCAATTAGATTCAATTCTTCGCTAATCAACGCATCCTTTTGTTGTTCCCTTTCATCGATGAGTTGAAGGCATTCTTTCGCTAACACTATATTATAATCGTTGGCCGAATCCGAAGAGTTGATGTACTCCTGGGCCGCACTAATCAGCAGTTTCTTTGTCTTCTGAAAGGGAACCACTTTTTTCTTGTATTTGGTCTCTGAGTTCAACTGCAGATAACCGGCCGCTAAACCAAAATTCTCTTTTCTCGCCGAACACAACAACGTCTGAACAAACACTTCAAACAACTGATCTTCGGTTATGCAGTCTTTGAAACATGTTTTGCGGACCTCTTCTAAGTTTTTAAATGTTTCGATCCATTCGTTAACAGACATCGGTTTCTCCCGTTTCACACAATTTCTGGTTATTTTAGTAAACAAGTGCTTAACTGCCTCTCTGTCGCAGTTCTTCTCGAGGTCTCGTATTTGACTGATAATCGGCGGACAATCGTATTGTTCAATGATCTCTGCGGCGACCAAATAGTTCTCCAGTTTGTCCGCCAAATCATTTAAATCATTCAAACGATTGATTTTGTTATTATCGTTATCGGCGATGAGTTGAACCATATCTGGTTGTGGCAGACATTCAACTATTTTAAAACAGATCTCAAGTTGTTTTGGGTCTTCAGACGCGTAAATGCAATCGATTGCAAACTCAATCAAATCGGACGGCTCTTCAATCAATGCATTTTTATTGATTTTCTCGATTTCAGTATTACTTAAACTCGAATTCTCAAAAACTTTAAGACAACAGTTTAGATGGGTTTTGGCGACAGAAACTAAATAGTCTTTAAATAAATCCCTTCCAATCGTCTGCAATAATTTTGGGTCTTCTTTGCAAACCTTAGATATGAAAACTTTAAGGTATTTCTCAATAAAATCCAAAAATCGTTCATCACTTTCAAGCGCTCCACTCATCAAAATATCAATTTTCTCTTTATTACAATTGTTCTCAAATTTGTCGAAATCAATCTCTTCTTCATATTTGGATTCGTAAACAATTAACGCAAAGATATCGAGATCTGAATAAAGTTTGTCCAGATTTGGAACCATATGTTTGATCCCAATGTCCACTAAATCGAAAGCATTGGTCACAATTGAAGTCAATGACAGTATTTGTCGACTTCTTTGTGAATACCATTGCGTTAACAATGATTTCGTCAAACGATTGCATTTGTATCTCAAAAGAGACGGATTTTCAGCGTAAAAGTCGGCTTCAAATTGAGTGGTATTGAGAGCACAGACGGAACCAAATTGTTTTTCAATCCAATCTTCTTCTCTGAGGATAATTTGGTTCCAATCGTAGACTTCATATCCTTTTACTTTCGGTGAAACCACTTTCGGAAGAAGTGATAAATACTTCTTCGGTGAAAGAGTTTCATCAATATTGGAGAGAATGACTAACCGGTGCTCTAATAGATCGACCGATTCGTAGGTCAATACAATTGATACGGCGTTATAATCGCCACTTTGGGCCAAATGTACGGCCGCTTCCAGTGAAGACATTTCTCGGAATATCTGATAAAACTTGTGGTTATATTTGCTGTTCATATCACTCGAGTCTCTATAACTTAATATCATTTCATAAACATTCAAACGATCCAAATATTGAAGTAAACGCTTCCTCCAAATGCATACTTGTTTTGACTCCAAAGACATGTCTTTCCAATCCATGACTTTAAGGCCAACCACTTGGAGGTCACCGATCTCTTCATTGTCTCCCTCTTTAGGGTTGTCTGGAGTGTCAACTCGTGAATAGAAGTGAGTCTTAAAGCGATCATAATTAGTGAGATTTAGACCAAACTGTAGTAAATATTTCATTGAATCCATGTCTTGAGCGACACAATCAACACATTCTCTCAAAATCCACATTTGTTTAGATATTTTGCTTAAAGACTGATCGATGGACTGTTGGCTGATTGGTCTGTATCTCCACATCCGTTGATAAACCAGATCCGCGTCGAAGCCGTAATTCGTGGCCAACTCGAGGGCCGATTCAAACTCATTGTCGGCTATAGTCTTATCAAAGAGTTCTTCGGCCGAAAGTGACTGCAATTCATCGAAAGGAAACTTTTTCAACAAATTATTAATGATTTGTTTCGTCGGATCAACGCTTCGGACACCAGTTATGCGGAAAATGATGGCTCGGATGGCATTCAAACCGATTATCATATAATAATTGATGTAATCGTTGATCACATTCACAGACTTCGCGACCAAAGTTTGCGGTCGACTCTCGTCTCCGCTCTTGTCATCACTGGTTTGACTGTCATTATTGTCATCACTCGTAACCGTCGATGCGATATGTCTTCGCCTAACAATCATATTCTTTGTGTCCATATTTTAACACAAATTAATTGAAATGAAAATGAGATAACATTTGTTGTGATTTGTTTGGTCTCCGCTTCCATGTAATCATTGCATCACAAATGCATTCATTCATTATTAACGCATTTATTGCCCCCTTTTTGAGCACACAATACAACTCTAATCAATAATAAAACCCTCAAAACTATATTTACTTGTTATACTTTCTGAACAAACGTTGCATTTTTCAACGATATAAATGATTTAATGAATGGACAACAAGTTGTAATACATGTAATGACATTTCATACTAAAGATGTTATGTAATGATTGACTGATTTAATGGCAATTATTTTTAACGTCATTTTGCTATAAATTGAGTGAATAATTATTAAATGTGTGGAAAAGTGTTGAAATAATTAGCTTTTTATTAAATATATTAATAACTTATAAACGACAAGATATGAAACAAATTGTTGGGTATATTGTTATCAAATTAAAGTTTTATTTTTAAATATATTTTTGTATTATAAGTACAATAATATTATTAATGACCCAAATATTCATTAACTGAATTGAAGATATAATTCACTTTTAATGGTTTTTAATTGTTTTTGTGCCGAATATTGGATACAAACTATTTTAAGCATATTTTTTATCAGACATTAGAATAAATGAAAATTAAATAAAAACAAATCAAATTGAGAACTGATCACAGATTTAGTCCATATTTTTGCAGATTTCTTATACAGTATAAGAAAGCATTTTCTTCTTTCGATTATTGCAATCATTGGTTATTAATAATAGACAACGCTTTTGATGATTGAGAACTCAATCGGAGATCATTTAAAGTGTAATTGACTTAATAATAGCATTTTGAAAGCAATCGTCCATTTGTTTGATCAATGAATGGGTGAGTCGTCGACGGGTCGAGCGCTCAGTCCTACGATAGATGGAAAGAGAGCTGTCCCTCATTGATGGCGATTCGCAGTTTTTCCCTCATTATATCGATAGTGATATAATCGGGAAGTTTGAGATAATTAACACAAGTCATGACACTCGGCAAACAGTCGGGACTCTCCACGCCTTCAATGGTTTTGCGAACAATAGTGAGCGGAGGCGTCAAACTTCGGAACCCTCCGACCGGAAGACGCGGAGAACCGCTGACAAACTGTAAGAACTTTCGCTGATCTTCAACCGTATAGGAGTTCAGGATTTCAAAGAGGAATCGTATGGCACGGCTGTCGTGAGTGTATCCGTGATCTGTTTTGCAGCACTCCATCAGCATCTTTACGTCCCATTGCTTTTGATTACTTCCGCAAAACAATTGTTCCATTTCTTCGGGAAAGAAGACCTGAAGGTGTGTCGACGGGAATACTGAATCAAAGCCTTCCCGGAAGGCCTCCATTTGTCGGTTCACTCCCTCGACAAGAGTCCAGTGACATAACAGACGCACGTATTGCTCGATGTTATCAATGGAAACACCGATATCTCGACCGCCTTTTCTAAGTTCAATATTTGGATAACCGGGTAATGTATAGTCGAGGTTCAGGTCTTCAATACTACAGCCGTGGAGTTTCAATGTTTCGAGTTTCTCTTTATTGCCATCGTTTTGCTGTCATTGAAAAAACAATTTATTAATTATAGACATTATACCAATCGCTATGACTAGACATACAATTTTGAGTTTTTGTTGCGCTATTTTCTCCATTTCGACGACAGACCGGGAAAATGTAGAATCGATTTGTTGCATATCTGCGATACTCAACGATAACTCCTGACTCAGAAGCCATTTGTAGAATATAGGACTCAATGGTATGTCAATCTAAAAACAATCAACAATTAATACAAATCGCAATATAAACGACAGAAACATTCATACCATTCGTGAGTCCATCAGTGCTTTGGCTACAAATTTTCCTAACAGTTTGAATCTTTGGCGAGATTTCGAGAGTTGTCCCGCTTTTGTGGTTCGACCGATGGGTGCGGGAAACAGACCAGAGGGTGAGTGCATGTATTGAACTGATGGCTGATTAGTTTGAATTTGATTATTCAATTGGTTTTCATTAGCATTAGTAGAAGAAGTGGCTGTAATCTTGTGGTTGGGTTGAGGAATGACTACTTTGGGTGCGGACACAGCCTCTCCTCTCCACATCTCGAGGTCTGAGCGCTGCAGCTCTTTAGAGACGAGGGCATAGAACTCGAGAGTTGGCCCCAAACCAGTTCCCACTTCGTTCTCGTATTGTATTTCAAGCAAAGCTTTAGAGTTTCCCAAATCGTGTAAAACAGTTTCCGCCTGTTTTAAGATGTCATCGCGAGAGACGGTTCGCTTCCGTCTGTCCAGCCGTGGAGTCACTCTTTCGCTCGAATCATTGCCCGTCAGTTCGGGCGCACTGTCTAACAGTCGTTGAAGGGCTCGGTCTCTATCAAAACACGTCACGTAAAACAATAGGTATCGCGTCTCGAATGGGAAGAGAAAGGGACACGAATACGCGATTTGGGACAACCAGTTCGGGATATTGCCCGTCATTATCACTAACGGGTCCTGTAGTTGACGATTGGCTTTTGCGGTCAATTTAACATTAATAAAGTCTTGAAGAGGTAGAGCACTGTTGTAAGGGTCGGGCAGTTTGTAGAGCCAACCCCAATGACGGCTCAAACCGTATATAACTCTCAATAGTGTGAGCACTTCTAACGACAGATCCTGAACTGTGATATTTGATGGCAATTGAGGCTTAAGATAGGGGTCTAAAGGCGACGAAACGTTTGGCGCTTTGCCTTCAACCCAGAGCTCATCTTTCTTTTTGTTGGCTCCCTTTCCACCAGAACTTCCTTTATTACCTTTCCTTCCGCTTTGATTAGAGTTTTGGTTACCATTATTTGAGTTCCTACTCGTTAGGCATTGACTCGACGTTAAGTTAGAGATGGGATTGGATGAAGACGATGGACTGCAGACGCCCTCCACATAGGCTTTGTAGTGAATAGTGTGAGTGGCGACCCATATGTTCGCGTGACCCATAGGCGCTTCCGACTCATTGTCCGTCTCGTGTCCATCAGATCCGTGAGTGTTGTGTCCGTAAGCGTATTGTTTGATCGCCTGATAGACAGTCATATTGTAAGGCAGGGGCTGTTCGCCGATATAGAACTGAAGTCGATGTCTGCCCTGGTTTTGGCTGATCATCATCGCCGCCATATTGTCGTCGAACTCTTCGTCGGAAATGTCATCATCGCTGGCGTCTTCGTCCTCATCCCTGATCTTTCCGTAACCTCTGATCACTAAATAGCGTTCAATCGCCTGAACCAAAGCCAACGGATCTATTTTGACGGGTCCTCCTCTCCATTGGCGCAGATTCGCACAGTCGGGATGTCGTTGTAAATTGCACTTCAATTGGTGAGTATTGAAGAACTTAAGAGCACTCGCGCCACGAATACTGCCGGTTCCGGAGCCGACCAAGTCGTGGACTCTGACCGGAAACTGTTCCAATTGGGAGACACAAGCGTTCAACTTATTGACTAAAGCCGCGAGTGGTGTGAAATCGATATGTGCTGTCGCTATGGAATCCATTTGAAACGTGTCTTCGAGTGGAGTGCCGAAGAAGACGTGAAGAAAACTACGGAGTCTTTGGTCACGACATTCGTTGAAATCGGTGTTAGAGACGAGGAAATTAAGAAAACGTGTGACGAGTCCGGAGTGGTTCAACTCAAATGAAGAGATGTCGCCCTCCATCACAACCGAACGAATGTCTTCGAGTGCTTTGATATGATTATCGTTCAACATATCGATGGCTTTCGTCAAACGATTCAGAATATTAAGAGACGGATGAGATTTAGTGTAAGTGTCGCCGACTTCGGCAGTCTCTTCATCTTTGAAGTACTTGTCCTCAAAAGCCTTCGCCTGTTCTTTAATCCAAAGCCGAATCTTTTCTCGGTTTCCGCTGTTATTCGGCGAACGCGGAGAAGAGGTCCGGGAGATGGAGGTGTGATCTGACGAATGGGAGACCAACTGAGAGCGACCCGAAGAGAGGCCACTATTGGAAGAGACGAGAGCGGGTGAGCTGTTGTTCCAACGGCCCCAACGCGCCGGATGTAGGCTTTGAAAGAAAGCACTTGTCTTAGCGGCAGCCGAACTGAATCTGAAGGCCGGACGGCCGCGACTACTATGGGATGCGGTATGTGTTGGCACTGATGTGTTTGCACTCAACAAATTGGTTACATTATTATTGGCGGACGTGTTTTCGCCAATAAATATCGGGAGAGATATATAAGGAGTGGTGAGTGTTGTCGACATTTCAGATTCAGTAGAATAGTTTCGGTTCAGATTAGAGGCCGAGCTATGAGTGCTATAAGAGCGCAGATTGAGTGATGAGTTGTTATCGCATTCACTTCTAGTCTTTCGGGTCGCACCCGAACTGCTAGAGCTCACTGTCTTTCGAGTCCGCTTTCGCTTTAGGGTCTCATCGGCTCTACTGATAGGAGGACTCCATTAGTGTTATATTTAATACAAAATTTAAGGGATTTATCTATTTTTGAATATTGATTCAGAATCCGGTAAAGCGATGGAAGATATTCATCATATGATTATTTATCATAAGATTAGGTAAGGGTTGGATCATCAGGTGTTGGCATTCAATTGCATCATAATTTTCATCTCAATCAATCAAATCTCTGTATTTATAAACTACTCTAAACTTATATTTTAACAAATTTAAAATAAATGAAAATTATAATATATTATCTTAAATTGTTTGAATTGAGATTATAATAATGATGTAATTGTCAATTAAATACATTTGATAACAAGTAAACATTAGACATACCCGGTGTTGACTAAATGGTCGGACACAGCGACCGAGTCCTCAGCACTTCGGGCGGACATTATGTCCGGCGAGGGAGCGGTTGGAGTGACGGGAACTGAAGTGCTGAGAGAGGAGAGCGATTGAGCGGACGCACAGTTCGAGACATTATTATTAAATCCATTTTGCAATGCATTTTGGACTGTATTTGCAAACAAGTCGGTCGACACATCACAGGGAGGCGTCGCCTCCAGTGGCGATGAGTTGTTCGGAGGGCTTATATTCATTGTGGTCTCGAAGAAAGCAGAATGAGATTGTGATGGATATATGGGCGCAGAACTGGAACCAGCGATCGGTTCCATTTTGCAGACGGGAAGTGAGGTTATGGTTGACGGAGATATCGCAGTGGACGCCGACTCGGCGTTGTCCTCGCCTTTGGAAAGTTTCTGGATTTGATGGATAACGCCTTCTCGTCGGAAATATATGGCAAAAACGTCCGGAAGTTTCTCCATAAGAATGTTAGCCATTTGAGTGGCGCCGACAACGATCCTGAGGTCGGGTGAGGCCAACATCGTCGCGATATGACTCGACACGTCCTGATTCTTGAGCACTGACTTTAATAAATCATTTGATGCATAGTATATAATACGCAACAATGCTTTGAGGCACTTATGGCGAACCGCCGGTCCCGCGGAACTGCTGTACACTTCGTATAATACATTGAAAAGTGATTTTACAAAAGCACTCGCCATCTCTGGCTCCTTCTCGAGACTGTCGGCGCGCGGATCCACATTACGGCCACTCGTATGCGACAAACTCACGATATCGGAGGCGCAGTTGACTCGGCGTTGAACTGCACGCGAAGTTCCCGTTTCTTCGTTGATCTGTTGCATTGAATTGAAGTCAATGACATACGTTCTGCCCATCGCTGACAAACTGATCTCGTCTTCGCCAGACTGATGGGCCGCTTCAATGATGCGACTGTCGATATTGCTGTAGGGATGCCATAAACCCCTGTCATCTTTCCATTGCCAGAGTATTGCATCCAATTGTACGCCCGTTTGTTTGCAGAGAAGACTGTCCACAGAAAAGATACCATCGGTAGGCAATCGTGGCATTAGTTCTCCGATTAGAGACGTTATCTCAAAGAGTTCTTGTGGACTGCGATTCACTAATTCGATGTCGTCTTTAGTAGAGCTCGAGCCGAGCAATAGGTAGCGAAGGGTTTCGCAAATATCTATATTTCGCAACAATAGGTTTAATGAAAAAATGCTTCAAATCATTAATTAATTCAATACTTACTTAGTTTTAAGAGTTGAACCGCTATTTCAGGACATGAGGAACACATTACGGAAAGCATGCGAATGACACTAACGAAAGTACCGGTGCTTATAATCGGTGGTATAACTACTAATAGTTGTTGTAAATTAGTTAATAAACTGTTGGAAGCAATTTCACTAATAATGGCGAACTCGAGTTGAAAGCAGTCAACTAATCGTGAAAACGCTAAACAAATACTTTCTACGGACTTCTTGTCCGGATGTGTCAAATGAGAGCTCAATGTTGTGAGTGATTCCTGAACTAAGGAGAACTCATCGACAGTTAAATTTTGACAGCAATTGGCTGTAATCGAAAGGGCAGAGCGCTGGGCGTTGATCGAGAAGAAGTCCAAATACGTGAGACACGCCGACACCCCTCGGGCGTGAAGTATGGCTTTGCTGTGACGGCGGGACAGCATTTCCAAAGCAGTCAACGACTGTTCGGCGACATCCATACACTGAATCACTTGCAGTTTCTCTAGAAAAACAGGAACCGCGTCCACAACTACTGCCGAAGAGCGGGGCAACGATTCCATCATATATGTGAGGGCACGACACGCGTGGTTCATAATATCGAAATTATGCTCCATTGACAAGAGTGTGATGAGCGCCGGCACCACTTGTTTGACCGGAAAACCTCCTAATGTGTCCTCATTGCCCATAACCAAGAGTTGGCACATTTCCATCACTGCCTGTAACTGTTGTCCTTCGTCTCCACTGGCCTGCAGTCCTTGAAGCAGTTGATGGGCTTTACTGCTAGAACTCGTGCCAATTGATCGGTTCAATAGGTGTTGCATTCGTGGTCCCAATGCACCGAACAGATGGGGTGGCAGTCCTTTAGCTTCGAGTAAAGCCTGTAAGCGTCCCATTTCGCTGTCATCGGATTCACTGTCGGCCGAACCGACCAACACATTGGCTACAGAAGCGACCGAAGCCGCCACAGACGTCGATTGAGTTCCGGCCGCCGGACTCGCGGATGAATTGTTTAGAGAGGAACCCTCTATACGAGAAGTGTCTGAATTGGAAACATCTTCATCCATACCACCACTCCTTGTGTTGCTTCTGAGTAGACCGAGTCGTCCACTACTCCCTCCTCCAGAATTAGAGGTAGTATTTGGTCCGAAAGATGAGGTTCCGGCGGCACCAGAACTTGAACTCAATGACGGATTGGTTGGCGCTTTGGTATTGAGGCGGGAGGAACGCCGACGCGAACTGCTGGCACACGACCCCGTTGTAGACGCCCTCTCCAGACCTATTGTTTGCTCCCCCGACGGCTCGCGTGAACTACTCGTACCAATTCTGGTGTTCGACAATAAACGAGAATTACTTTTAAAACGTTTGCCGCGAAACGAGTCCTCAATATTAGCGGCGAAGGCCTGATTGGAATCGCTTCGCTGTGAGGCCTCTGAATGCGATTGTGATGTCTGTGCAGAAGATGTCTGAAGTAGTGACGAATCGCAAGTCGTCCACAACTTCTTTCGTGGCCTTCCTTTGCGTTTCGGTATTTCAACAGAAGACGACGGAACAGACCTTTCCTTTCCGACGCTTAAGTTGATTGCAGTTAACTCTTTATCTGCAATAATAAACACATTTCCCTTTAGACTAACAAATATACACTCATTAGCGATGCGACAAACCTATAGACGATTCCTTCTTTGCTCTCTTTCCGGGAGAAACGTCTTCTTCTGATAAGCGTTTGTTTGATTTGTTTTTAATCGAGAGATCGCTTACACAGTCTTGTGTTTGCAGTGAAGTGGAAGCGAATGGCAGATCTCCAGAACTTACACTTTTATTCAATAAATCCCTTTTTGAGGCTAAAGATTTGGAACTAAAGGCAAAGTAAAGACAATTGAATCAAATCATATCGA